CGCACCTGATGCTGGGGATGGAAATAATAACATACCCAATAATGGGGATGGAAGCAATGACGCCTCCACTGGAGATGAAAATAACATCGCACCAAATGACGAAGGCAACAACGGTGCATCCGAAACTGGACAAGGAAATAACGATGAATCCAATGCGGACGATGGAAACAACGGTATTCCCGATGCTGGAGATGGAAGCGCCGAGGGTGGCGATGGAAATAATGCCGCAGCCGAAGATAGCAATGGAAACAGCGCACCCAAGGATGACAATGGAAACAATAGCGCACCCGAAGATGGCAATGGAAACGCATCCGATAATGGTGATGGAGGCAACGCATCCATTGATGACAACGAAAACGCCATACCTGACGATAATGACAATGGAGACAACAATGCAGCTAATAAAGGCGATAAAAACCCTAACACATCTGATAACGGCAATAGTGACAACGACAACAGTAACATTTCTGGTGGTAACAATGTAGAAGCTTAGATGAATAAATTAATTAATATTTTGGACTGAAAAAATTCTGCCGAAAGGTATCTAATTTATACTATTCAGAATATGGCAACAGTTACAGAATATGTATTCTTACATGTATATAAAATATAATATAAAGACGAAATTGCATTATAAATTAGATGATGTATTATTTGATTAATTGGTATTGTGTTGTGTTAATTCTAACTAATTATATAATTATAGTAACTAAATAAGAATATATATATGTGTTGTAAGTATAATTTATAATACAGTTTGTACATCTTTATATGCTTTTGTATTCAAACATTAATATAGAGCATTTTAAAAATACTGCATTTTGTAAGATACGAAAATGTTGGAGCATTTTAAATACTAATAATGCCTTTGCATACGTTAACTTACATAATATCAAAGCTAAGCACTCTGTTGATGGATAATTTCTTTCGCTTCTAATGGTGACTACTATAATTCCTCAGTATCCCAAAAAATATCTTAATTAGACATAGCTTTTCCTATAAACACGCATTATTAACTCCTGTATTTCTCTCCACCATTATAGATTTCCGGAGATGCGAAGGACGTCGCGACATTGCTGAATGTGACTAACGAAATGAGATTAACATCGCGGCTTATGTATTTCAGGAATCATCGGTTCCGTGACGTGAAATATAATTTAACGGGCTTGAGAATTCTAAGCACAGACCTTTCGTGGGTAACGCGTTTCCACATGATGCTCCCTCAGCGACGGTTTAGGGGTGCATCGCACGTAAGCCACCGCTGTTACTTGATTCGCTTCATCTTCCACGGCCGGCTTAGAGAGGGATAGAGACTTTTATCTTACCTCCCCTTCTCTTTTTTTTTCTTATCCTACCTTCGTAGCTCGAGCGTGGAACTCCGCTCGTGAAAATTGTACTCCAATTTAGTAAGATCCGATTTGTATGGATGGTTGCGTCTGCGATATCAGACCGGAGTATCGAGTGCAGAACGGCACGGAATTTTGATAGCGTCGATTGCGATAGGTAGTATACATATCCATCGTATCTGTGCATGTTTGTCGCGCATTCAAAAGATTAATATATCACCATTTGCCTGGGATGGCTCTACACTCAAACCGTGCGGATAAATGTGCCTTGCATGTATCGCCCGAGCATGTTCCATGCAGCAGGGATCTTTCGTGTCTTCGCGTATCATGAAGATCAGAATCATTATACATATATATGATACATGAAACGAACTTTGGCCAATTTCACGCAAGCATGATTTAAAACGCGATAACTTATGCATTCAAAATTTAACGCAAGGTATAAGGAACCAAATATTTTGCCGAAACTATCTCTATTAAATAAATTGCTCCCTTTAGAACCCATTCATAATCAAAATGGCTCTTGTGGAATACCATCAATCAAAAATTATATTTTGCATAAAAATATAAAATTATTGTTTATAGCTAATAAGATTCCTTATATAGCAGCATTAATATACGTATACATAAATAATACACAAAAATTATTAACAAGGCGATTCGTGCAAACAACGATAAGAAAACAGTATGTATATTAAAGTGCTTTATAATAAATTTTAATAGCAAAGGATTGTAAACGGCGTTATATGGTGTGATCAGCAGGCAGCTGTGCAGAAATCTTGGTCGTTTGACCGTGTATCATAACGCAACGAGTGAGAGAGCATAACTGGGTTGGATTGGAGAGTTTACCGATCAAGCCTTCGGACCGCGCGCATTACTCCAAATACGCACCTGATAATCGTCTCAAGCTCCACCTGTATCGAAGCAGATGTGCGCACATACGCACGTGCGCGTGCACGCGTGACATCTCAACGTTAACGCATACATGTATGTATACGTCCCGGCATTAGTACGTACTCGAAGATAAGGGCGCAAATCTGCGAGCTTAACGTCGCACTAATTAAACGAGCACATCCTATCGGAATAAGATTACACGATTGATTCAAGCTCCAAGATTTTCTGCCAATGGCCAAATGTTTTCAATTCCCATCGTTGATTAGATGGCATCTCTTCGATGAACTTTCCTCATCTCCAGAGGGAGGGAAAGTGGGAAATAATAATAAACGAGGCTCGCATCAGATTTCCGGACTTCCGGCGGAATAAATAAGTTCCGCGGGATAATAGTCGAATTTAACCTCGTACAGTAGGATATAATAAACGTAGCTATAATGAGTTGGACGTGATAACGTAATTATCCGTGCAGCATCAGTGTCTCATTATACACGTATCTATTCTTTCTCGTTGCGTCTATTCATGTAACGCGTTTGCCGTACGCATTGCAAGCGACTTTTCATCGCATTAGTATTCCTCCGGCGTGATACTTCCACCGATGCCGCGCGGCAGACATTATTTCCACAAACGATATACTTGAAATGTACTGTATGTCAAACAGAAGGTGTTGCGAGGCTTGATTCATCTTTTTCGCGCCCAGCGTAGCGCGGCCTGTAATTCTTCTATACGGCGGAAGCCGTGCTTATCTGATCTGATGATATCCAAGCCTGGACGCGAGTATCTGTAGATACGTTACACGAGAAAACGAGAACTACTCCAGTATCATCCTTTCCACATCTTTACCTTATCCCTGAAATAATGATGTCGTATCGCGACATTTCATCAGAACGAACAAGAGGACGAATTAATTGAATGGCTGTCATTGACTTGGCTTTTTCCCTTACGTATACATAGATAAATTTACATGTACACAGAAGGACTTTTTAAAACGTAAGAAATGTTTGTAACCAGTGGGTGCATTATTAGAAAATAATAGGACAGTAAGCGTGTGAAATTAGAAGCCAAAGGAATTGAATAATTTTGTAACTTGTATTAATTTTTATTATAATCTTCGCTTGATTAAAAAATGTTTAGGCATATTTAAAGATAAAGTTTATTTCCAATTTTAACGCGCAATTAATTAGAAGTTAGTATTCATACATCATATATCCGTTCCTATTCTATGAATCACTGTTTGAAGAACCCATTTCATCATCAATCATTAGTATTCATAGTCGATTCTTATTCGTTGCGTAGAATGATTTATTTGTCGAATAAAATTGTATAGATCGAGTTCTCTTATCTAATTCCTATATCTAATTAGTTACTAATTCTAAGGTTGCAGTTTACACATCTCGAGATGTAGCAATAAATAATACAATTGTTTCATTGTATAAAGATAATACTGAAATAGTAATCGAGATAAAGGGAATTTTTCGCGACATCATTTAAATCACGTTCAATTAACGATGAATTATCACGCATTAGATGTGCTCAATTGACCAGATAATCGGTAATTATAGGCTATGAATTTCTGAAGAGCGTACATTGCAGAACAATCGTAGATTCGTAGGATTTGTAATTAAACAGATCAAATAATGATTGATCACGAATACCTTTATTTAATTATACATTAATTATTTATCAAAGATGATAAAATATGAGTGCGAAAGAGCCGGATGTACGTTAAAGAATATCTCTCTCAGGAATATCGGGCAAACACGATAAAATATTTGCATCGATAATACGCGCGCCAATTTTCCTTCATGAGCAAACTCTAATCTTCAAACGTGTATGCCAGGAGATATTTTGTTTATATTAAATTCGTAAACTCCGCGAGCCTCTTTCGTGAGAATCCCTGAAAACTTTAGAGACGGCGGCTTTTTAATCTTGCCTCTACTAACAACCAACCAGATTATTACATTTTCAATTAAATCGCGCCGACCGTCATTCACCGCCTAATGCACCCAATGTAATATAGTCGTACTCATAAAGTGTACTTTGTCTGTCGCGGGCTTTCCGTTTACTTATTTAAAATGCGTAATACATGTGGCAAATTTACGAAGAGTACTCTGAGAAAAAAAGTTAGCAACCCATTTTGGGGCCCACAATTAATAATCGAATTATTTGGATTGTTCGTAATTCTACTCTCGGAAAAATTTTGGCCATTTTTTTTGTAGTTAAGCAACTTAACATTTCGGTTAGTGCCTCTTAAGTGTAAATTATCTTTGCGTTACTGAATATCGGCAGAACTAATTGAGAAAATTAATTAGTATTACTTAAAAATCTTGGATATAGGTAGAATAGCTAATTGCGGTTTTTAGTTACGCGGGGTAAAAGTTGTAAAAGATTAGAGTGTTACGGTTCTCGAGGTTGGGCTGGATCTACAATAGACGCAGCAAGTCGCAAGCCGCAAGAAATCGGCCAATGAGAGTCGACTATTCTTCTCATATTTGACTGTGACTGGTCGATCTCTCGCGGCTTGCGACTTGCTGCGTCTATTGTAGATCCAGCCTTACCGAGCGTGCTTGCGAAACGATTGCGGCGACACAAGAGACAATTATACGGCGTGAACGCACGTGCGAATTCGTTTGTTGGACGAAAACGGTTGTCCATCAACAATTACTCGGGCGCAAAGCGTGGCGCAACTTTTTGCTTGATCGGAAAATATTAATGAAACCAAAGCCCCATCGTTGAACTTTTGCGCTCTTGTACAATACGTTCTCATCTCGAACGCACGGTTCAATGCGCGAGCTGTCGAACCGAAAGATTTTAATTATTACTGTCGGCTCTGCCCCGTTCGTACGCTTGAAGCCAGATATAATGACGAAATTAAATAAAACGTCATTCGCGCGCCATGCGATTAATTACTGACCGGCGGAAGAGAGCGCCGGAAAAAAATGTTGGAGAGGAAAGAGCGCGCCGGTTAATTATGATCGTACAAACAGCGCGTACGACCTTTCTACACTTACGATGGGGAACGGTCTCGTTATCCTCCATTTAAACGTGAATTCGTTATACGCAAGATCGCTATAACGTGATCATTTATTGGACGAATCGGGCCGCATCCGCGTTTCCATTAACCCAAACGTACTTGCGGTTAATAATGTATTTGTCTGCGTTGCGATCATCCAATCATCATAAATAATACAAAATCTTCATGGATTCGCTCTCGATCCACAAAAACGCGGATTACACTCGTAAATTACTCGCGTAA